CGCCAATACAAGCACTTATCATACTGATACCAACTATGAAGGCACATGTTCTTCCTCTCTTCCGCAATTAATAGAGACATATCTCACCATTGGCCAAGTGCCCTGCTTCTCCAATCCCTTCCATGACTTGGCAGGGCCGACAGTGGGCCCACCGATTCCGGCCATCGAAAGAAGCATCCCCTTCAACCAATTGGACCAACTGAACCAATTGGACTATGATAACAAAGTGATAAGTTCAGTTTTCAGTCACCTGACTAAACTGGAGGGAAACCAAAGACCTGCAGCAAGCCTTGGAGAAAGAAGCATAGGTAGCTACTTAATAAGTGACAATGGGTTATCGTTTATTGGGAATTAGAAGGGGAGAATTATGCTCCTTTGCATTATTAGCTCTATGTAAAACTAGTACATAGTTATGCATACATATGCATACATATGAAAGAAGACTAAACAGGGGATCATTTCATTGACCCAACCCCAACACCCGCCCCATTTCATTTAACCCCCCCCCCCCCCCCCCCCCCACCCAAAAAAAAAAAAAAAAAAAAGAAAAAGAGAACAACAGGGTCCGCTAAGTACGTGTTCCGTAGGTTGGGTTTTGCAATTCAAAAAGGATTAGCGGCACAGCTTGTTGCCCGCTTATCATCATCACATGTATAATATTTATTTGCTGTTTAATTGTAACAGCTTGGACATGATTGAAGAAGTAAAATTTCTACTAAAAAAAAGAGAAAACATAAAATATTTTATGCAAAAGAAAAAGAAAAAGTTGTAATTGTCAGGTCATCTGTTATATCGGCTTTGAACTTACTATCCCTCTGCATTTATTGTTGTGAGTAAATTCTTCTCGACTCTTTTACTCTTAAAGAGTTTCTAACTTTTTTAAGGGGGTCTGGTCTATATGTAACAATAAAACCAGACGAAAATTGAGTTCAAACCGACATACTACATGCGGTTTATCCTTAATTAACCCTAATTATTAACCTTCATTGTATCAATATCATTTAGATATGTTGTGGAATTTTGGAACTATTGAACGCGTCCAAAAACCAAATCAAACATGACTTGACCTCAAATTTATAATCCTACGGCATCTTAATTTTATAATGCAAAAGTACCTTCGTAAATTTGCTATGACAGTATCCATAAAAAAATATTGGCCATAGTGATGATTTTAATTTTGTAATTTCAAATTTCAAAACTTAAGCACATCATACTTTTATTTCTTATTCTATTCTATATCATTAGTACAATTTTCATCACATACTCTATGTTTGAAGGGCATATTTGTTATCTTGACTTGGTCTTGTGTGACCAAATCAACTATTCTCAGTTGAGAGAATAGTGGGAAAGTGGAGTTGTTGAGAGAAAATCTATTAGAGACATTTTTTTGAGGGGGTGGAGATGATGAGTTTGACCTCTATAAAAAGTGGAGTGTTATCCTTAAGAAAACACAAAACAGAAACAAAACCCCCTATCTATTATCGGAGTCCCCTCAAAAACCTATTGTTCTTTCCCTCTTCTCTGTTCTTGATCACTGGTATCAGAGCTAGCGTCGATCTCAACTCCCAAAACGCCGCCAAATTCTCATCTCGCTTCGATCCTCAACTCCTAGAACGTCGCCTTCTCGAGCTAGCGTTGGTCGACGACGACTCTGATGCGATCAACATCAATGACTATGTCTCGATCGATGACTGTTGCGATCGACAACGATAACTCTGTCTCGATCGACGACGACGACTCTGCCTCGATCGACGACTCTTCCAATCAAAGACGATGACTCTGCCTCGGTCTTAGGGTCAACGACTCTGCCTCGATCGAAGACGACGACGGCTACTTCGGTGTCTCCTTGTTCTCAAAATCGACAGATCTGCTGCGATTGTGATCTCGATTGATCGTCGTGGGTTAGATTTGATTTTGAGCAGGAGAGGAGATTTTGGGGGTTAAGTGTTGGTAGGTCCATCAAAGGAATAATAATAGCATTCAGTGGAACTCTGCAGAAGTCAAAGCCATTTCTAGCTTAAAAAAAGTCAGTTTAGCCCCTTACACAATTTATAATCCGCTTTCAATCAAGTGTTATTGTCCGAACAATTCTTCGCAAGTCCTATCCGATGCAACTCAACGACAGCAGCAGATCATCTTCAAATCCAGTCAGAACCGACTTCGACAAGTGCTTATCCATTCAACATCACTAGGTGACGATCTCGCTCGAATTAGAGTTTCCTTTCTCAACTTGAAACAGTCAGGTTCTTTTAATTTATTTATTTTAATTTTTTATCTAACTTTATTCTATTTTTAGTATAACTGTCTATATACTAATCTTACACATTTTTTTAAAATTGGATTTTAGTTTTAGTTCTCTACCGAATGACTAGTAAACTCGTTCTATCAGAACTAGAAAAAAAATAATAAATTTAATGGCAGTAATTATGATATGTAACATAGAAAAATAGGATATGCTCTTATTCATGACAATATCGATGATGTAATCGAAACCACTGCTCTAACCCTTACCGATAAATCTACATATGAAGAAGAGAAAGGGTTTGAATAGTGAAAGTCGAAGATACAAAAATAAGAAGCCTAATGTTCATGTTCATGGAAGATAACTTAATTAAAGTTTTTGAAACTTATAAGACTTTCATGGACATGTGGAATGCTATAAAAAAAATACGACATCGCCTCTGAAGTTAACATTCAACTCCTCTTGCATAAGTATAATTCTTATCGTATGCAAGAGGGAGACAATGTCGTAGAGCATATTAACAAGATGATTGTCATGGCTAAGAATTTATCCACTGCTGGAACCAAAATTCCGGAAAGAATGCAAGTGTTAACTATTTTGAATAGTTTACCCCCTTCCCTTGTTGTGGCTGTCACCACATTAAAAATAAACCTTGCCATTAAATCTGTCACTGATCTTCCTATGCACCTAGCGATAGAACAGTACTTAATAGTCAGTAGGAAAGAACCAAAACTGAATATGATGCAGTAAGAGCTGAATTATATCCGCCAGAGGCATAATACTAAAAGCTATAAAAACTCTGGTCCTAGTAAACCACAACAGCGAGGACCAAAATCGTAGTAGTTTAAGAGAAAGAAAGTACCCTGCGGAGCCTGCTACAATTGTGGAAAGTTCGAGTATTTCAAGTCCACTTACCCGCAAGGTAAAAAATAGGAGAATAAGGAAGGCTATAAGGATCCAAAATAATGGGGTACTAGTAAAAGAGAATTCGTCGGTGTGACAGAATGCAATACTGTGATGACGGATATCAACGGTTGGTGGATCGACTCCGGTGCGACCAGACATATCGCAAAGGACAAGAATGAAGTCACAGAATTTACCGAGCTAGGAGAACAAAGAATCTATAAGAGAAATAATGCCTATCTTGATGTAGAAGGTATTGGTTCGTATAGGTTGGATCTTAGAGACATTATTTTTGTCCTCAAATATGTGTTCTATGCACCAGGAATTCGGCACAATCTGATCTCTGTTCCCAGCTTGATGAAGAAAGGACTAGAAGTTAGGTTCTACAATAACCGGGTTTCTATAGGAAAAAATAATAAAGTGTATGCTATGGGAAAATATGTGCTCGAGCATGAATTATGCATTCTTCCAGTAGTTTGTAATAATTCTAATAATAAACTTTTAAATTTGAACTACTTATTCTGTTATATTTCTGAGTCTGAATTGTGGCATTCTAGACTAGGACATGTTAGTATTTCAAAAATAAAAGAAATTATCAGAATGAACTTACTTCCTGCACTATCTAATGTTCAATTACTACAATATGAACATTGTTTAATTGATAAAATGACTAGAAAGCCTTTTATTGGCGAACAAAGAGCCAATGAACTTTTAGGGTTGATACTCTCGGACATTTGTGGTCCCCTAAGTGTCAAAACTCATAGTAATAAAGAATATTTTATTATTTTTATAGATGATTATTCCAAATTTGCACACGTCTATCTTATATCTAGAAAATTAGTAGCTCTTGACTGCTTTAAGAGATATAAGACATAAGTTAAAAACTAACTTGGAATAAATATTAAAATTTTGATAACTGATAGAGGTGGGGAATATAACTCTAAAGAATTTGAGAGTTATTGTATTCAGCATGGAATTAAAAAGCATACAACAATGTCATATACGTTACAACAGAATGTAGTTAGATGCATGTTGTCTCATTCTGGCCTCTCTAAAAACTTTTGGGGAGAAGCATTGTTAACTACAAACTATATTTTAAATAGAATTCTCACCAAATCAGTTATGTCTATACCTTATGAATTATGGAATTGAAGAAAACCAAATCCGAGTCATCTCAGGAAGAAGGAATCTATAGCTCATGTTCTAATTCCATATCAACTTATAGATAAGTTGGATTTTAGGATAATAAAATATAGATTCATAAGGTATTTAGAAAAGTCAAAATGTTATAAGTTCTACAATAAAGAAAAATAGGTCATTGAAAGTAGAGATGCTACATTTCTAGAGAACCTAAAGGAAGAGGAACAAGTTCGAGAGGAAACAGAACCTCTAACTATATTAGATGATTGTTATTACGGTGTTGTTTCCACTAATGACCCTAATATTATGAATGAACCTAACCTTGAAAATAATAAAATACCTATAGAAAATAATATACCTCATCAACCGATTGTAGGCAACAAAAGACCAAGAACACAACCTTCGTGGATGAATGATTACTATTTATATTCATGTGATCCATCCTATTTCTCGGTAAATACAAATATAGAAGAACAAGATCCCTTAATCTTCTATGATACGATAAAATCGCATGAATCAGCTTTATGGCTAGAATCCATGAGAGAAGAACTTGATTCTATAGAAAAGAATAAGGTATGAGAGTTATGTGATCTATCGGAAAATAAAAAATTCATAGGATGCAAATGAGTGCTTAAAAAGAAATATCATGTTGATGGGTCTATTGATAAATTCAAAGCACGATTGTTGCCAATGGTTACAACCAGAAGGCTGGAATAGATTTTAGGAGACACATTTTCCTGTAGCTAAATTCGCATCAATTAGAATTATTTTGGTTATTGTTGAATATCTTGATTTGGAGTTATTCTAAATGGATGTTAAACTGCATTTCTTAACAGAGAGTTGAATGAAGCGATATATATGCAACAACTTAAATGTTTTCAAGTGAAAGGACATGAACATAAAATTTACAAATTAATAAAATCTATATATGGTTTAAAACAGTCTTCTAGACAATGGTATCTTAAATTTCATGATGCAGTCACTAAACTTGGTTTTATATGGTTTAAAACAGTCTTCTAGACAATGGTATCTTAAATTTCATGATGCAGTCACTAAACTTGGTTTTATTCAAAATAAATTAACAATGGTATCTTAAATTTCATGATGCAGTCACTAAACTTGGTTTTATTCAAAATAAATTAGATAATTGTATTTATATCTTGAAAAGTGAGAGTAAATTTACTATATTATCCTTA